AGCTATTTTCAGTTATAGTGTGTTTGCTTCTCTTTGTTTTTCTTGTGTGCTCCCGCTTGTTTGTTGGGTTTCTACATTTGGTATCAGAGCAGGTTGACCGAAGTCGTCATTCTGCCGAATTGACATTCGATTAACGAAGATCTAGCCGTTACTCTGCCGGATTAGAGCCGTCCACTGTGAGCAGCATGACGCTATGAAGCCGATTAGTTTGGGACTAAGCTTCTTGGTGAAAGGCAATAGAGAAGGATTTCACCAATCATAATGGCGGGTTTAGCCAACATACTTCCGGGAACAGAAAAGCTAAACGTTGGCGCACATGCATGGAGTCATATTTACAAGGCGAAGATTTATTGGAAGTAACAATTGGAGGTGAAACTACTGCTCCCATTGATGAAAATGCTAAAAAGAAGTGGAAAATCAAGGCAGGTAAGGCTCTTTATGATATCAAAATTACTATTGAGAATGAATTTTTAGAGCATATAAAAAAGGCCTAGACTCCAAGTGAAGCCTGGGATATTTTATCTAAATTATTTTCCAAAACAAACGAAGCTCGAAATGTTGGAAAATGAGCTTGCATCTATCAGTCAAGGATCGATGACAATTAGCCAGTATTTTACAAAGGTAAAGCGCCTTTGTGATGAAATCTCTCTATTAGATAAAGAGTCTGCAATCAGTGAAACCTGAGTGAGATGAATAATTATATGAGGGTTGAGACCCGAGTATAATGGGTTTGTGGCAGCTATTAGAGGCTGGTCAACACAACCATCACTTGTTGAATTAGTGTAGAGAAGATGGGCCGAATGGCCCATAGGCTGTTCATCCTTTTTTATCTTTTATGTTCTTTGCTGTAATGGGCCTTAATCTAGGCCTATTCTTTCTTATGTTATGTCTTTTTAATATTCTGCCCAACTAAGGCCTTCTCTGTAAATTACCAAAGTTTAACTTAATAAAATAGAATTAAGGGTGTAAAAGAAGAGATTATGTTCGAAAATCTCTCTCTCTGAACCCAAGTTGCCACCACCTTCTTCTTCATCTTCTCCCCTCTTGAACTCTGATTTCTGCTACTTTCTTTTGATTTTTTGCATCTTTCTAAACAGTCCTTTCTTCTCRAAAGGCTGTTTTTCTWYTWGRWAWYA